ATGCGCTGTTCGTTCGCAACAGCAGTTGCACGTCTTAATGCAACCAAGTCGCCAACACCACCACCACCAACCACAAAACCACCCCCTCCCCTCCCCTCCTCAGACCTGCAGGAAGACAATTGGTTTCTTGAGCTGCTCGGCGTAGCGGATGAGGCAGCGGCTGCAGATGCACAGCTGCATGTTCATCTCTGCAATGACAACAATCACCTTCGCCTTGCGCACGTTCGCTTCGTAATCATCCCACGCTCTGTACATATGCATGCACGCACGCATGTGTGAAATTGGCACAAGAGAATAGGTGCGGTGGGGTGAGGTGATGGGGTGAGGGTAAGTCGGGGCTACGACGGCAGCTGGATGTCCATGAGTGGAGGGTGGGGCGGGGAGCAAGGAGATGAAAAGAGCAAATGCGAACCAAGTCAACAAGGAAAACATACACGCGCGTGGACAGTGGTATACGTGCTGTTGCAGTTCGCTCCCACTGCACCATTGCACTGTTAAGTGTTGTTACACCGTCACCACCACTCACGATGCGTGTCTGTCAAAGACGTTGATTTTCTTCGCGTCAATCTTCTCCAAGTCCTTTGGCAGCGGCTGCTGGTGCTGTTGTGCGCGTAATGAGTTGAAAGGTGGAGGGGGTGGAGGATGAAGGGAAGGAGGAAGGTTGATGTAATGTGTGAGAGTCGAGAGGTGAGCGTTCACGGAATTGCACCTGATCAATACAGACATAGGGAGGCACAAACACACACACAGTTATGCACAAAACATGAACTCACACACACACAGTTATGCACAAAACATGAATTCACACACACACACACACACGCACACACACACACACACACACACACACACACACACACACACACACACACACACGCACCAGTCTCCCTACGGTCTGCACATAAGCATGCATGCACACCACCGCCTCACAGCACCACGTGCACGTGTGTACGGACCATGAAGAGGATGTGTTCTGCAACGACGGTTTGTCCCGGTTGACAGTCTTGCCGCCACCAGGAACCTGTCGATGAGTGATGATGGATGATGAGTGTTGGGCAGCGATAATCATGGCGCGTTGATCGCAGGCGCCATCGCTGACACATGTGGACAGACCCTCGTCCCCCTGCGCACATCTTTTCATTCACACACACACACACACACACACACACACACACACACACACACACACACACACACACACACACACACACACACACACACACACGGAGCAACAGCAGCAGCATACACACCTCCAAGTATTTCTGGTTGAAAAGGGCGAGGCGGGCGTACGACGCAGCTTCAGACTGCACACACACACACACACACACACACAGACACACACACACACACACGTGTGAGCATGACAGTGCTGATGCAACCGCAGCAGATGCATGCATGAATGCATGCATGCAAGCACGCATTCAACTTTACGAAGCAGCTCGTACCGATCGCGCCTTTTTCGCTTGATACTCCGCCGCCTGCCAATTGAAATCCGCACGCACACACACGTACATCTCAGAATGTCACCCAATGCATGCAGGCAGCCCTCCACAACCCGACACACACACACACACACACACACACACACACACACACACACACACACACACACACACACACACACACACACACACGTCGCCCCCATCCCCTGGTTCACTCTAAAACTGCCTCTTCACGATCTCCCCACCCCCCCCCCCAATCAAACCCCGGCGCACCTTGGTCAGGTTTGTCTTTAAGGGGTTCTTAGGGCTTCTGATAGTTGATCTCCAAGCTAATTTTTCAAAATATCTTCGCCGGTTCTGGGGCGGCTGCCCTAAAGATGAGGGAAGCGAAGATTACGATTGAATAGGGTGGTGGTCAGGAAGGAA